GTACGGCGCCTCGGAGGATCGAAATGTTCTCAGTGTCGAGTTCGTCCATATTAAGATGCAGAGTTTCGAGAGAGGGTAGTCCGCTACTACAGAGTGCTGCAATGATAGCAGGGTGATTGAAACCGTGGGTCTTAAGGATGAGTGTGGAGAGATTGACCATTTTCGGGAGGCAACGCGCCAGACGAGTGGCATCTTGTTCATCCGCACGCCACTCCTGGTCTCGAATATCCAGGAGTTCTACGAGACATGCAGCTGCTCCGGATTCTTCTGAGTTCTCAAGAAATGTCACGAAGTCCAGAAACAGTTCTTTCGAATGAAGGAAGAAACGATATGGTTCCCCTTCGTTGAGGAAACAATCAGGCACGAAAGCTTTGTAGAAGGCATCTATACACGTATCAATTTGTGCGGAAGGTATGAGTTGATGAATGAACCTACGTTTCTGCTTCGAATTCATTGCGATGAAGAGGATTTGGTGAGGCTTGTTGGGCTAAGTGTCAACTGGGTGTGTGAAGAGGAATGGAGGCACCGGCTAGACAGGGCAAACGGATTTTATACCCTATACATCGTAGGCTGACAACGGGACAATACTCGTATTTTTCGATGACAAAGTCTGTCTCTTGCTGCTACAAATCATGGTGTCCGGGCCATAGCGAGCTCGGATGGTGGCCTGATCTGAGAAGTATGACTCAACTATACCCGTGGCAAACTGACCACTCACTGTGATTAGTCGCTACGATGATCTTTCATGCACAGTACTTAGACTGCAATAACGTGAGGGGCAATGAACCCGACTTCCTATGTAACCATGTAAGAACACACTAACAGTGTCCGCTGAGTAGTGGAATCAAAGCAGTGGAATAGCAAGCTGAGCCGCTGAGGTTGTCCTAGGCGCTTCTTGACAACTGCGGACTTCGGCCGCAACGGCCCGTGTACCCCGTATACCTAAGTAGTAGGCAAGAGTTGGGCAAGAGTTCGTTGACCGTATTTCTGCACTTCTCTTCTCGCTCGCGACAAAGAGTGACGCACCCATACCCAACAGCATGGACGACTACGCGGTCAGTGCGACGTCAAATCTCGCTACCTCTGCTCCGTACGTTGTCTCCGAGGACGAGGCGAAATTCTACTATTATGGCATCTCCCCCTCTCCGCCAAGACTTTTCTATCGTACAGATCTGTTGACGAGGCCCTGGGTCAAGCCTCAAGGCCTCGAGGCCTATCATTCTCCCAAGCGGGCGATTGGCGTTTTCGGTCATAAACTTAATGAGGTCTGGGACGAGGTGGGAAAGAAGGTGCGGGACCTGCTGGAACAAGTAGCATGGACTTCCATCGATGTCGTTCAATTCATTACTGATCACGACGGCAAAGAGGCCAAAGGCCCTGTTGTGATATGGGTCGGTGTCCACCCTACCCATGGAGCAAACCAAGCCGAGCAGATTTTCAAGTCAGCTGGCAATATCCTGGAGCTCCTCAAGTCCTATGGTATCGGGGATGTCACCGTCGAATATCGCACCTCTATCTATCGACTACTCGACGGCTCACCCCTACTTCCTCCTGCATTCTAGTTTACCCCCACTTTCGACGTTCGCGGTGCTCTCACTACCACACTCGGTCTTTCGATTTCCGCCGTCGATAGGCCCGAGGCACAGGGTACTATGGCGTTGTATATAGCTGAGGGTGGTGCGAGCGACGCAATTCAAGGCTCACATGTCACCACGTCTTATTCAAAACAGACCTCACCACCAACAAAGCCTACTGTCTCAACGGCACCGATGCTCCTCGTATGGACGTCCAACTTCTTGGCACGCGCGCTTTTGACAAACTCCTCGAAAATATCAAGCTTCGTATAAACCATCATAGGATAATCTCGGACCATCATAACGACCGGCTTAGGCAGCTGGTGGGGAAGGTAAGCGTCAATGAGGAGATAGGGGACGACGACGACGAGCTTGCTGAGGCGAAGTCCGAGTTAACGGAGACTCGAGAGCTGTTGAAAAAGGCCAAAAAATCGATTGAGGGGCTGGAGAAATTCTACAGCACTGTTAAGAGGGACTGGAGTGACTCGAATAATCGGATTATTTGTCACATCCGCTTCTCCTGAGCTTCACTTCAACGTCGGGACAGAAGGTTTTACGGAGGACTGGGAGATGTTTCAAGTTGACAAGGAAAAGTTTCCAAAGTCCTTCACAGGCAACGTTATAGACCTTGGTATGTTAAAGCCAACCCGTATATTTACGGACAGTGTCTAACAATGACCCTTAGGCACTGAGATGGCGCCCGACAAGTTCACTTTCAAGATGTATCCCCGCCATGACGGAAAGACCCCCTTCAAAATCCCGTCTGATCGCTTGCTTACTCTTCACGACATCATCACCAAGGAGCGTCTACGCAAGCCCAACATGCTCGACCACGACAATAAACCCCGCCTTATCGTCATCAAGAGTGGCAGCGCAACTGGGATCGCCATTGAACGTGCTACGGGGCCCTTCTCATTTGTCCGTGATGAAAATACAGGTCACGATTCCAAGAATTGGGCCATATACAGTGATCGTCCTCATCCTCCTCCCCGTCGCCACTTCTATAGCCTTGTGTCGCTTTTTTCGTGACTTAAAATACAGAACGAGGTCCCTGATGTATACGGACATAAGCAAAGTACTGCAGGGATCGTAATACATAAGATGAACTGCGAACGTCACCCAAAGTGCGAACACTACGCATGCCTTTTTCGGACGCTAGTGTGGGGCGTCTAAAAGTTTCAAGACTGATGGCGCTTCGCTTCGCACTTACCTTACTCTCCCAAACTATGGCAGCCTCGACCAAGGCCGCAGCAAAAGCTGCAGAAGAGCAGAAAGACAAGAAGCCCTCGACATCAAAAGTAGGAGCGCCTTCACAACGAAGTCAGTCTAGTAGGAAGGGAAAACGCGCATGGAGGAAGAACATCGACATTGATGAGGTCGAGGAGGGCCTTGAGACCATCCGGACAGAGGAGAGGGTCACTGGGTGAGTGGTAACTCATTTTATGCCTTTGTACTCTCAACAAGCTTTGAAATAGCACTGCTGTACAGAAGAAGACAAATGACGAGTTGTTCGTGATTGATGTTACGGGCGACGACACAGGTGCGCTTGACTCTGCACGCAACAAGGTTGACTGAGGCACATTGTATCTGTTTCTAGTCCGCCACACCCTCCCAAAATTTTCCAGAGCTTCACTCACTTCCACCAAAATCCTCGCACAGCGTTCTGCTGTGCCTGCCGTCTATTCACGGTCGACCTCTGCGTCTTCGAACGCCAAACGGAAACGCCTCACTCACGAGGAGAAGGAGCGACTCTTGCGTATCGGCAAGCGCATGCGTCATGGTCCGTTCAATGCCGTCGTGGATCCTACAGAGACCGGTGAGGGGAGCGCACTATTAGAGCTTAGTGAGGCGGCGAAGCAGAGTGGGCAATATAGTTTGTGGGATACTTCTCCCAATGTGACGGCCGTTCACGAGGAGGATTCTGACGACGAAATCGTTGATGGTGTAATTAAGAAGCGCAAGGTGAAGGTATGTACCTTCCTGTCTACTATGTATCATTCGTACTCAACAATGGCGCTGTACGTCCTTCGACAGGCACCGACCCTCTCTCATCCCCGCGAACACATACAACTCTCCGCTGTACCCGCCCCACACGAAGGTATATCATACAACCCGCCCGTCAATGCGCACCAAGAGCTCCTACGCACGGCGCACGAGAAGGAGACGCAAAGAGTCAAGGAAGCAGAGGAGCAGGCGCGAACAAAGGAGACTATGCAACTCGCGCGGAAGACTGCCGCAGAGGACGAGGTCGCCGCTGCGATGGTGGGTGTGCCTACAGGGATGATCGTACAGGAAGTGGACGAGACGGAAGTTATCGAGGAGACGGATGAGGTTCTGCCTGCGAAGAAAGCGCCCGAGCGTAAGACGAAGCAGCAGAGGAAGAAGGCGGAGCGGCTGCGTGCGGAGGTTCGTTCTAGTTTCATCACGTCCTCTCGTACAGCATCCTGATCCCTGGTCATCTCTTTCACTGTACAGCGTCGCGCGCTTGCAGAGAAGCTCGCACAAAAACGCCTTCTGGCGTCTGTGAATGCTGCAAAAGCACTGCGCAAATCCGTGGGCAAGACTGCAACAGAACGTGAACGGCAGCGACAGGAGCGTCACCAGAAGGAGCTTCAGGAGAAGTTGAGTAAAGGTATGGCGGGTATGCGTCTGGGCAAGCATGTTGTACCCGAGGGCCAGCTCGACGTACAGCTGAGCGAAGATCTGACTGAGAGCTTAAGAGGATTGAAGGTGCGCTGTGCGCTCTGCTCAATCCTATGGAGCAATGATCTCACGGACTATGTGTCTTCGTCCTCAATAGCCCGAAGGCAACCTTTTCAAGGATCGCTTCCTGAACATGCAGCAACGTGCACTCGTCGAGCCACGCGCACCCGTAATGTACGTACCTGTGTGGTCATCCTACGCATGAGCAGTACTGATCGACTACTTGTCTTTTCCTATAGACCAAAACGCAAGGCGAAGATGAAAGAGTACGAGAAGCACGCCTGGAAGCGATTCGACCGCGAACAGGGCGTCCTCAAGGAATGATCTGTATCTATGTAATTAGCTCGTCACCGTCTTTTTTGCTAGCTGACATCTTGTTACGTTCGAGGCCGGATAATGTGTGCCATTGATCAGCGTTCAGCCATGTCACGATAGGATCGGTGACGCAAGATACTGCCGTTAGATATTGTAGCGAAAATCCATTCCGGGCGGGGCCTACTAGTATTGCACGGACACCTCTGAGATTAGTTCCTCTTGGTCGAAAGCCAAAATATAGTGATTAACAGAATGAACTTGAGCATTGAACAGAAGCTCAAATTTCAAACATTTGTGACTCGTCGCTCAAGATAAAACTTCAGTACTGTCAACATGTTACATGACGGTTGACCCATCACCTTGGAATCTGGATCCTCTTTTCGAAAAAAAGAATCATTGGGCTACTTATGGACAATCAGGGGATTGAACCCTGGACCTCACGCAAGGAATATACTACAATTATATGCGAAGCGTGCGCGCTACCACTGTGCCAATTGCCCGACACAGTGATTCTACCATCGTCAGCTGCCATCCGCCAGGACATGTAAACATTTCAAACCCGATGCAGAAGAGGGCGTAGGAAGAATGGAGACAAAGACGTCTACAGTGATCATAAGGTAACAGTGCTCGTACAATACAGCATCCCAAAAGAATATACAAGAGAAGGATCCTCCTTCATCCATCCTCCGAGAACACGAACGCGACTAAAGCCGATGTACGGATAGTACAGAGAAAAAAACTGGTGCGCGGTGACTAGTTGTCTGAGGATTCGAGTGCTGCGACGAGCCCGTATGCGGCCGCAGCCGCTGCGCCACCGACGAGCAGCGTGCTGAACGCGCCCCAGACGTAACCGCCGGGACCCTGGCCCGCCGCACCCGTGATGCGTGCCTTGACGGCACCGAACACGAGAAGTACTACGCCCGTCAAGATACACGAGTAAATCAGTGCAATCTTCGCCTTTGGTACTGTGAGGTGTACACCATCAGGCCGTCAGTAACAACAAACCCTAAGATGAGGTTACGAGCTTACCGAAGAAGTACGGTAGGAGGGGGATCAGCCCGCCCAGCAGGTATCCCATCCCGATGGTGAAGGCGGAGACGTACATCCGGCGCGTCGTGACCTCCTCAAGGCCCTCGCCGAACTTAAGCAGGAACGCGGTGAGGCCAACGGACTCGCTCCACCTCAGCGCGCCGCCCTCCTCCGCGAGCGTAGCCTCGCTCTCCCCTCTCCGCGCCTGCCCCTCGACGGCGCCCTCCTCCCTCACCTCCATCTCCACCGCGCGGAGGTTGCGCGTGACAAGGTTGCTCGTGGCCTTGTCGACGCCGATCGGGCCGAGCACAGCGTGCACCTCGCGCTCCATCTCGCCCTCGCAGCAGCGGAGCACGCGCGCGCTCGTTGCCTTGCGCTGGAAGCGGTAGTGGTCGCGCTCGGCCTGCGACGCGAGGAAGCCGCCAATGCCCATCGAGATTGCGCCCGCGATGAGCTCCGCGATGCCGCCGAGGATGACCAGCTTCGACTCGCCGAGTGAGGAGAGGCCGGCGGTGAGCGCGAAGGGGACCGTGAGGCCGTCGGAAAGACCAATGACTCTGTAGGCGGAAGTGCGTGTGAGTGCCGAGTCAATGGATGGAGGTATAACTGGATGGGAATTAGGTCCGAAGGTACTCACACGTCTCGGACGACGTCCGGGTCAACTAGGGTACGTTCGTCGTCGCCCTTGAGCTCTTTACAGCAAACTCCGCTACGTGACGGCTCATGGCGGAAGCATTTGGAGGGCAGAGGGGCGGGGACGGCGGCTTCGCTTATAGACCATACTGGTGGCTTCTTTGTGCTGCCCCCGTTGCCATTGCGTGCAGGTAGTGGTACTGAAGGTGCTGCATTCTCGGAGGACGACATACTTCGTGGTGTCGTTGTGGTCGTTGTCGGCTTTCAAATAGCAGGAAAATTGGCGGCGGATGAGTAACGGCGGGAGTATGCTTAGGCCGCAGATGAGTCAAGAGTCCGCGTCGTGGTGAGAGGTGACTTCGCTGTCTGCGACGACGAGCAAGCGGGTGGAGATGGTGGAGAGGTCGTCGAGGAGAGAAAGAGAGACGGCGGTGGAGAGGACGGGACGGGACTGGGTATGATATAGATTCGACTAAGATTATTGACCCGCGTCCAGTGACAAATGATCTAATCTTTTATCTGCATAGATTCAGACGCCTATTAGATCGACCAATCGGAGATCGCGGAGGATACTCGGCCCGGAGGACGCGCACACGCGGTGACGAATCCTGCCGCGTTCATTCGTGCAGGTCGTGTCGGTCATCGAGGACGTGTGGCGCGAGACTAGTACTCTGCAGGTTGCTTTCTCATTCGAATCTACGAGTGGTTTCTCGCGGCTGACATCAAGGACAACATACTGTGAAAGAATTGTCCAAGAGCGAATGACAGCCCAGAAAAAAGTAAGCAACCTCGTCATTGACCAGAGTGCTCTAGAGACATCAGCTGCTGACCTCTCGTATGCAGACAGTTACAGGATGAACATCGCTACATGTATAAGACAGTAATGTGCGTGGCTAGACGATTGCCGAGGACGACTCGTCGGACAACGTGGACGGCATCGAGGGCAGACTGAATCCTCGAAGAGTCAAACATAGAACGGTACCTATCAAGAAGCTCTGGGGCGCGAAGACTGCGGGGATGTGTAGAGCTTGAAGAGGCAAATCTCTCCGTAGAGCGTGTGCAGATGAACAGTACTAACGCCGAAGATTCTACACAGGAATGTCCATTGATTGACAGCGTACGTTGCGCGGTGTTCCACACTGATATCGATCCTGCAGGTCATATACGAATACCTCGCACTTTGAACATGCGTCTATGTTGGACTCAGCGGTGGCTCGGATGCTAGTGGGTGCATGACGATAGTTGACATGTCATCCAGGCTACAGTAGATTTATTGGGCTTGGACGAAAACCGTTCAACGGTAGGTAACATACTACACGATATGCAAGATACACTGAACCTTCATCGGCGATAAGACGATGTCTATGTTCGGTGTTTCGACTCGTAAGTTCACATTCATGCCTCGACTATGATTGCACGTTTTGACAAGTGTGATCAGCTCGTGTAGAACTCTATCATCCACGACTGTACCCTCGTCTACCAATCTGAGCCAGAAGGATCGAACGAGATTGCCTCGCACGAACTGTAAACTTGATGGATTCCAACTATCCAGCGCAGAAGAATGAACGTCCTGAACCGTACCTATGGCGTTTTCGACGACTCGTCTGAGGGCTCAAAGATCGTAAGTAGGAGTGGCTTCAAGCAGCCCGGTGATACCAGTCTTCACTCGTTTCAGCTGACGAACGACGGATTGACGAGTGTCCTGACCATCTAAATGTACATTGATGACACATGGCTGCTCGAGCTCGTCCCATAGGAATTGTATGCTTTTCTATTTTTTTTTCTATTGACAGGTGTGTCATGAGATCCATTCGAGCATTGATGAACATCTACGTCCAGTTTTCAGCAGATTTGAAGTGGACGATCCGCATTCTATACAGAACAGTGATCGCAAATCGACGTCATCTGGGGAAGGACAGTCTTTGATCATGATTTTCGAGCTGCAAAGTACAACATGTCATACGTTAACGTTACACGATAGCAGTGTTCGATCATCGTCATAACATGACTGTACGTCATCCAACGTCCGACGCCTACATCCTCATAGACTCGTCCAACGTGCGATGGAAAATGCATGCAAGGTCATCTGTTCAGGCTTTCAACAAGTACGAAGCTCGCCGGCCCGCACGACATAGACCGCACGGAGTCCGAAGGTGCACCACGACGTGCCCGTGACCGCTCACCTGGCTTGAAGTACGTACCGTCGAAGTTTTACCTTCGTGCTGGCCAGACGTATATAACCTGGTGTTCGTGGAGTTCGTACATTGGTGTGAAGTGTAGTCGAAGGAGGACGTCACCATGCTCGGCCTGCTCTTGCTCTTTGCCAATTTCCTGCTATCCTCACAATCGGTCCTCGCTGCAACATCAAATTCCTCAATAAGCCCGTCCCCGAGTCGCACATGCACGCTCCACCCGCTCGGGCATGGGCGGGATGACACTGATCAGGTCGGTTCAAATCCTTATTGCACTCACCCGCCGGCATGATATTGCACTGTGCTTCTGACCGTGCGTCGTAGATCGAAGCCGCCGTCGCCCGCTGCGGTCACCATGGCAGTATCGTCTTCGCGGAGGGCCAGTACAACGTCACACGGTGCGTGTTGCGTGCTTCCGCATTGCTTCCTTCTCGAGGGCGCGTTACGCTTTTCGTGCTGCGTGCGAATGGCCGGGTGCGCAGGTAGTCGTAGCCCATGAGGAGTCGTCAAGCGCATGGATGGCGGGTTTAGGGAGTGTGCGCCCCGTTGATGCTTCGCCGTCTCAATCGGAAGTTGACGGCGGGACGATACTGACGATGTGATAGGAAGATGACCTGGGACCTCGTGTCCTCTACAGTCGACCTGCATGGCTATCTCAATGTGAGTGGCCTTTCCAGCTTGGACGTAAGAGAACCAGCCTATGATGCGCCTTGACGGCTCGTAGTTCTTCCCAGACATCGAATACTGGCTCAATCCCGAAAACACCTACCGCGTCGTCTTCATCCAGGTGAGCCTCCGCTCCTCGCGCCCACGCTTCTTCCAGCCCCCACGGACAGGGCCACTTATGCACGCACCAGAGCCAAGCCTCCTGGTTCGTCCTCACCGGCCGCGACTTCCTCGTCGACGCGCACAACACGGGCGGTATCGCGGGGAACGGCCAAGTGTGGTGGGACTACTACGCGAACCGCACGCGACTGGACGGCGATGGGCGGCCGATCGCGCTCACGCTCTCGGACGTGACACGTGGGACCGTGCGCGGATTTCGCATCGAGGAACAGCCGTTCTGGTGCAACGCCGTCGCGCAGTCGAAGGAGGTCGTCTATGATGGCATGCTGTGCAACGCGACGAACACGAATCCGGCGTTCTTTGGTACGAAGTGAGTGGTCTGTTCTTGGTTTGCGGGATTGTAGTTGCAGGGCGGGGAGATGGTGCTGCTGGGAGTGGACCGTGAAACGCGAATATCGAGAAAAAGGATGAGTGATAATGGCCCAAGGATGATGCGGGTGACGTCGCCGCGGTCATTGTGATGATCATAGCTGTGTTTTCCATCGCTGAAATTGTGTGATCACTGACCAAAACACAGCTTGGTTCCAAATACGGATGGTAAGTGTGTGCTCACATTGCTGTAGCAATCATGATCCTTACAGACGTCTTGACGATGACCAGGAATCGATACGTTTCGATCGGACCAAGTAACCCTCTTGAACTGGGATGTGAGTCCTATTGCTAGTCGAAGTCGTATTGCCGGTGGTGATTCGGGTTGTGTTAGATTACGTGCGGAGACGACTGCCTGGCGATCAAAGGTGTAAGTATCATATTTTGAGGAACGAGGCCATGATGTCGTTATGGTAAACTCACCGGTCGGT